ATGTTTAGTCAAAAAGGCCCATGTCATGTATGAGAGCAAGATACGGAGGAGGAAAAGTTCCAACTTTACTAGGTAGTTTTTAATGAAAACTATTGGCGCAAGAATCAGCAACTCTACAATTAACAGCAGGCTTGTATTGAAGGTACCTGGCGAGACATTTGCAAAATGTGAATACTGCAGTGGATACTCAAAATCAAGAGGAGGAAGGGACCGTACAGCATAAATGCAAATGGTGCAACCCAGAGTAGGTATTTAAGAAGGAGCAGTTCATGTTTACAAGTAACGGGGGAATAAATTGGGTCTCTTACAGAGAGCATGTCCTATGTCCGAAGCTCTATTGTTGGATTGATGAAATGCAAAGAAAAACAGGCATGGCTTTAACCTACTTGGTAGAAGACAATGATACTGCCCATCAGACTGTACAGCATGTTGATAAGGAGGAGCATCTTGGAAGAGGTATCATTACCTTAGACTGGCCATCTAAATCACCAGATTTAAACCAAATAGAACCACTCTGGGACTATGAGAAAGATGAAATATCAGTCTGGAGGTTCGTGGGCACAAGTCAGGAGACTATCAACTTGGCGAAGGCAGTACTTGTAAGATCTTGGGAGGACTTACTACAGGAAGTTATTGATCAAAAGTGTTCATCATTTCATGCAAAACTGTGACAGGTTATTCTTCATCAGGGAGGAAGTAATTTCAATGGTTAGAATTGTTATAGGGAAAAAATGACCTTCATGTTCAACTTTTATGTATATTTAAATGATCGGGTATGGGTTGTTCTAATTGATTTGACGATCATTACTAGATTTGGGTGCGCGACTTCAACTCGGCGGCGCGAGTAGAACGCATGATATCTCCAAAACTGCCGCCAATAAACCACGAATCCAACCATAGTAACAACACTAACATGTACACCTCCCCCCATTACTCCATTACTAGATACCCTTCCTATTTAAAACAAAAAAGAAAAGAAGAAAAGAAAAGAAAAGAAAAAATACTCACAAAAACCCAACAACCCACTTAGCTCCAGCACACCCCGCACACACCCGCCCCAGCCTAAAAACAAACATGACCCAAGCCCCCCCCGTAGACGGCATTATGCGCTAAAAGCATGGGCACCCACTCCTTGCTCAGGATGCACCACGCATTCAGCATTACCACGAGGAGGCCAGCGAGCCGGGTTATATAATACTCGAGGATGCAGCGGGGGCACTGAGGAGGGAGTTTGGCGGGGTAGCTGGAGACGGGGGTAAGGAGGAGCGAGTGATGGAGAGGAAGAGGTGTGTGTTGAGGAAGAGTTGTGCTCTGGTGAGGACGTGGAGGGGAAGATGTTTGTGTGGGTGGAGGGGGGGGGGTGACGGGTGGTAGTGGGGGAGTGGAGGAGGAGGAGTAAGGTTAGGCTGCTGTAAATTACCGTAAATTTACTGTAAAATATAATAATTTATGTAAAGTATTTCACCTATAAACCAAAATCTAGCCAAGGTTCAAGCCAGCATATTAACGGCTTTTTGTCATTGAAGGATATGACATAGATTGTACACTTTATATGAGAATATAAGGTGAATTAAAAGTCCTCTACAAGTTATTTTCTTCATACTTTTTCTCCCACTCTGTATCCTCAGTACTAATACCAATTGCCTGTTATTAGACCATTTATTGAATAGAACTAGAGACATTTCACATTCTCTACCTGGATTTAATTATATATGGATGGTACAGGAAGGTTTTCGCTCCATTTTCACCAAATCATCAATTCACAAATTGTTTCTTGATCTTGATATTAGGCTTTAGGGTACCTCAAACCCCTATTCTTGTAAATTATGCATGTAAATTGCAAATTATATTCTGTAAATTATTGTAATTTATTTTAATTTACGTAAATTGCCTAACCTTAAGGAGGAGGAGCGGGGTGTGGGTGACGATGTAGAGGAGGGATAAGAGGGATATTACTGTTTTGTTCTACATTTGCGTTTGTTCTGATGATAGTGATAGTGGTGGCAACCGTGGGTTGGAAGAAGAGGCAAGTTAGTGGTGGAGTTGAACAATGTTATGTTTCAATTGTGTGGCGGAGGGGGTGCGGATCTGTGAGTGATACCTTGTGTTCCAGAATCTATTGGCTAAGGCCCCGCGCTGCAACATCCCACGGTTTTGTGTTTTACTATCACGGCCAGCGCAATCTCAGGCACTGATCTCCCACACATGGAAGGAGATCACCCTCTCACAGGCCCAGAAATTATTAATTAATTAATATCATATCCCAATAAGATTTTCTATGATACTACAACACAGAAAACAAACACCGAGTGATATCTCTTGCTAGAGTTCGCTGTGCAGCGACCGACGCATGAGGTGGGAGTGAAAGGTGCACTCGATATACAAACAGTTGGAGCTTATCAAGCAATTGCGCCCAAGTACTGAAAAGGAAGCGCATGGCTCACATTATAGTTTATTTAAATTTCAAATTTAACGAGGTGGTTCATTATGCTCCACAGAGTACCAGGAGGGTTAACAGAAAAGTAGCGGTAGTGGTTGTAATCTTGAATCATTACTAGCATCACAGCCGACTCGGCATACGCATGGGAAACTCGTCAAGTTGCACAAAACGACAAAGAGGCTTTTTGCGAGATTCAGCGCAATGACGGTGGCTGGGGGAGTTCACTGGGGAAGGAAATCCCCAGCGTAAAAATTCATTCCGGTGTGATTGAGGTGGCGGGGAGGGGGGGGCTGTTCGGGCTCGCAACAGGTTCCACACATTATGGAAGCATGCGAGGTGATGACCAAATAACGCGGACACTCCACTTAGGTAAACCAGCAAGTGATATGGGCAAGATGAGAACGGGCTTGGTTGGTTCTGATTTAACTGGAGGATAATATTTGGCAAGCGGCACAGCCCCAGTCACGGTGACTTCCTGTCTGGAACATTCCCTGCCAGAGCTCCACGTACAGTACCCTGAAGAAGTTGATTACTTCTGATGCTGTGGTTGTCGTAACTGACGGGCAATGATGAAGTGGAGTGTTGAAAGGGGAAGTATTTATTCGATCGCTGCGTGTGCAAGTCATGTGACAGGCAAGATGCTCGAGTTACATAATTAGCACAACACTCACTCAATGGACGACATGTTTGACACCCTATCAGGTGACATGGGCGAAAGCCTCTAGTCTATCTCTTGCATTTTCCTTCATTGATCTTATCCACTTGCGAGTACAGTATCGTAGACTAGAGCCTGCTCAAGGATCTTTTGCCAAGAATGCCCCCCCATCATAATACCAACTGGCGGAGTCATTCTCTTTCGCAAAAGTTTTTGGAGATCAAGCTTGGCACTTTCTATAGCAGGAGGTTCCCGCCTTGGCCAGAGCCAAGACTAATCTCCACAACTTTTGTTGTAAAAACTTTTGCGACGAGCAAGTATGATTGATACCCATCTCAGGCAAGAAATATGATACCCGGAAACAGGAGGGTCGATTTCGTATGGGCGCTCAGACACGCACGGGTGTTTTGCCATAAGTTACATTTTGCGAATCCCTGTTTCCGGGCACTTCTTGCCTGTGACGAGTAGACTATGGTAATTAGACTGTGCAAGTGATACCGATGGATACACCCGTCACGTGCCTCATCTAGGCAACACTACGAGTACGGTACCGAATCCACATAGTCTACTAGACCCCCCCACGCGAGGGATATCTAAATATCGCACTCGTTATGGCACCTTTAGCTTCAAGCGCACCTTTTGTTAATCATATGATAGAAACAACCAAACCACCAAGTCGTCAAGTTTATATCACGGGAAGTTTTGTGACTGACCTGACTGACTAGTTATCGCAATTGGCAATGATATGAATACTGTATGAGACACCATAATACCGGTATATGTCAACCTTGAGAGAAAAAAAAGAGAACTTGAACCCTTAGACACTCTTTTACTCGCCTCAAACTACCGTTCTATGACATAAGGTCCTTTGTAAAGTACCGTACTGGGACAAAAGGATTCATCCAATGCCCTTTTTACGCCAAAAGTGCCCATCTTCACCACCCCCTCATTGCGTAATATCTACAAGAATATGTGCAAAGTTGTCCACGCATTAGTAAACCTGCAGATAACACAGAGGATATTACACAATCACCAGATATTACAAAGTGATGGAGAAAAGGTTGTTTGAGCATCTGGTGTCGGTTGGCATGTACTTTTTTGTATCCCCACATAAAAATTTAGTTCACTTTCACACTGGTCGATGCAATCATGAACAATGAAGACAGCTTTGATTCCTTACACTTCTGCTTGCAGTGTGCAGTGGTTGGAATAGATAGTTATTCCGTAGCTGATGAAACTACTTGAACTGTTTTTATGTAATTTAAGTAGCATTGAGAATTGTCTATTTGAAAGTGTCCATTTTTGGAGTGAAGAGGGGATCGGACGAATCCTTTTGTCCCCGTACCGTATGATATGGTATGATAGCATCTACAGCTCTGTCGAGTGAGCCAATATTATTTCCAGAGCACAGCTGCAATATCATAAAGATGGCCCCACGGAATCTAACAACGATTATGTTATGGTACCTATTTTTCTCAACGCTCTTTGGATCCGGCATTCTTTGTTGGCGCTTCTTCCTCTTTCTGCCGACATCAGTTTGTGTCTTATAGATTCTCAACGGCTGACAGCAATGCGAGCTTAACGAGAGTGCTTTTTCGGATCTCCAGTTTTTCTAAAGGCGATGACTCAGATGAAAGAAGGATCAATGATGATGGCAACAGAAAATAAATGTCCAATGTTCGCCCTCGATCCCAACAGTTTTTCTGTGTTCCCCCATTTCCTCAGTGGATCCAGTAGCCCCCCCCCTTTTTTTTGAAGTATGATACAAGAATTCTACATAGAATGTTGAGGAATTCATTATGAATAGACAACGACATCTACTTGCTAATGTCCGTACCCCCCCTAGCGAGTCCATTCACACCTCTAACGGTACCACAACCCCGACATATAGATAGATAGACAAAATATGAGAACATTCCATCAAGTTAATTCAAGGTAAGTTAAGCCATGATATATGATATCCATCGAAATCGTCCAACTAAACCCAACCCACACGTACCTACAATGTACCTCCAGCTCTAGAAGAAGAAAACAGGTTACTACTATAGCAAATTGTTATAGATCACAGCGTAACAGGAGCTGGCTATCGTGTCCGTCCCAATGAAAGATAAAAGTAAAGAGATGAAGAGCAAAGAAAGAATGAAATGAATACACATTCCAACTTATTTGTAATGTATGGATGGATAACGCATAAGCTCACGGAGCAACCAACTGAAAAAGTAATAGGAGGAGAGGTGGGTAGAGATGAAAAAAATGAAAATAATGCTTTTATCATGAATCACGTCATCGTCACACATCTCATTTCGCCATTAAGCCAGATGTGCGAGTATAAACTCAAAGAACAACCCCCCCATCTCCTAAACCAAGGCCATCGTGGGCACAAGAAGGTACAACGACTGTAGGAAGATAAACAGAAAAAGGAAAGAGTGGAAAGCAAGACAACGAAAAGCACAAAAAGTACTTCCCCTCAAAACTTCTCTACATGCCGAAATCCTTAACCTGCCATCGCTAAAGAATATATGAACAGGGCCAAATGCACAGATCCCCCTTCCACCTTCCTTCCCTCCACGCTTTCACTTACGGTTCCATAGGATCGGTGACGTCGTGCACCCCAGCTGTGTCATTGTTCCCATCACTCAAGGTCGGCAATAACCCCTCGTCATCATCGACTGTGATGTCTGTAGGTATGTCGGTGTGTTCAGCTGGGCCAAGCAAGGAACCGATAAACACCCCATCATCAGTACTATCCCTCAGCAATCCACCTCTCGAGCCAAAGCTAAATCCTACGGTAGGTGCCTTGCTAGAAGTAGGTGAACCTTGAGTTCCCGGCATCAAAATCATTTCCATTCCACTGCTCTCAGAATACGACGGTGGTGGCTCATTGCCCCAGAGATTAGAGTTACCCGGAGTGCTATAGATAGTCGATAATCCGCTCGTACCACCGCCCGACGATCGGCCATTCGGTAAAACTGTAGCTGAGGAATCGCCGGACGGTCCGCCTTCCCCCGCCCTGGTAGGGGATGTATTCCGTGAAGAGGAAGCTGAGCCCGGTGAATCTGTTGGTTCACTCAACATCCAGTTAAGACGCGGTCCACCAAGTGTGGTTTCGGATCGGCGCCGATAGAAAAGGAGGTATGCAGCTGAAGTAATAACTTTCTGTTCTCCAACTTCCTTAACGCTGGAGTCTATAAATTTATTAGTGATCTTAGCAATTTTAAAGTCCAGGCTTGAGGAGACGAACCATCATAGTGATACCATTTGCCGTCAATCCAGCTTTTTGCACAAGCTGTATAATGACCACCACCTAACCCGCCATAATGATTATCTACCGCAATCAGATCGTAGACTAAACTCTTTCCTTCCTCCTTGAGCCCAACTCGCTCTTGAAGATCTAGGCCAGTGACGGGACAGTCAATCAAGACATCAATCTTGTCCCTGAAATTCCTCGAGCTGGAGAACCGTTTAAGATGGATGACAAGAATATCTGGGCACTTCCACAGCTCAAACTTTTTGCTGGCTCGCCTATGAACTTTACAGCGCGGGCAAAACCAGGGGTCTTCCTCGGAGAGAACCTCCTCCTTAGCGAACTCATCGAGGCAATCTTCAAGGTGAATTCCCTTCCTCTTTCGCTCATCTCGGCGGCGGCGTCGTAATTCCAGCTCCGGGTCTTGAACAAGCGGTACACTGTTGAATAATGGAACACCACGAAGGTCACCGCTGGATTCACCGCCAAACATGCTGTCGTAGCCCTCAGCACTCCACTCACAAATGAGGCCCTCTCCCCACATGATGAGGGGTGGATCATCAGCGATAGATGGGCTAAATGATCGGGTTGGGGTTTTGAATTCGCGACAAGAGGGGTTGCCACTGCTATTTCCATAGAAACGGTCGGGAGGGGTAGTGTTGAAAGCAGTCTGTGTGTATTCCGCAGACGCATCATACGAAGATGCCTCAGCATTTTCATCGTCGCTCACGTCTTGCATCATATCTTGCTCGGGCTCTGGAGCATCTTGAAAATTGTCCACATCGCCATCACTCGCGTCACTAACAGGGCTGCCCCTTCCTGACAGACCGGCACTGGTGAAGTAGTCGCTGGTCTTACGCCGTGGAGGACTAGCCGATTGCACATGATTTAACCGTTCTCTGATATCAAAAGCGGTCTCTAGCGCTTGCCATCCTGTTACGACAGCGGAGTCACCTGATCTTCGTTTTGTGGCCATAACTGTGAAAAGATCCTCTATTCCCGCTGGGAGCGGCCGCCTTGGACTCTTCACAGCCTTTCTGTCTGATCCGACCATAGATGAAGCATCCTTCATCGAAACATCCACGAATCCATCATGAGTCTCCTCCTCTGTTTCGTTTATATCTTCGAGCTCATCCTTGACTTCCACTACCTCTTCAGTTTCAGATTCACTTGGAGATGCCTCGCTCTCGTAGAAATTGCGAGTGGTCAACACCTGATACTTTGCGATTATCTTCTTCACGATCGCATCAAAGCTTCTCACCTCATCCCTGTTTACTACAATGAAGAAAGGCAATCCAAATACTTCAGGAGACGTGCCTAATCCGTAGCGATTCTGTTTCTGCACCCTATGAAATATAGGAACAAGCAGCCGGTCGCACTCGAGAGCGTCCGGGTCAGGTACATCATCGTCATCATCAAACCGACCGTAACTCGGTCCATAGAAACCGGTCCTCCTTGGTTTCTTGCTTTTTGACGGGGGATAGTTAGTCGGAACATCGTCCAGCTCGTAGATGAAGGCATCGTCGTCTTGTCGAATTGTTTCCGAAACAGTCTGGAAATCTTCGTAGTGTTTGAAAAATTTTCCCTTGTAGACTTCCGAAGCCATAGTCTAGCACAAAAAGAAAGAAAAGAGAAATCGGTTAACAAACCAACATCACACAGGATTAGCCATTGAAAATAAACATACCTTCTTAGGATCAAGATTAAATTTTCTTGCAAGATGCTCCTTCAATGATTTGATGCTGCTGTTTTTATCCATCTCTACTGGAATCTTGATTAACCCCCCACCAGAGGCACTGCTAGGGTAAAAGTATATGTCTCGGCCCCAAACATTTTCAACTGGCAATGGTAACGTTAGGTCCATGAAAGGATCAAAGGTAATGCTAACTTTCTCGCAGTCAGGGCACACAAGAGTGCTCTGGTAAAGCCCACCAAACAAATCCGCAATGACTGAATCGTTTCTCCGCTTATATATGGTCCAATGCTCCTGGGCAAGCCTTGCAATCGCCTCGCCATCTCCAACCATCTTATCGGTCGATTCTGGCTTTTCAATGTATGGCTTCTTCTGAATCCTATTAAGGTCCTCATGCAAACCATCGAGGAGAAACGCCAGAAACTCTTGAGTATCCTGTTGCCCATATCCCGAGAACGACAGGCTAAAGCGACTGATGGTGCTTTTGAACTCCCTGGGCGATACCGATACAGGGCATGTTGGCGAGAAGATATATCCGAGAAGAGTCGCATACGCCTTTGCTACCTTCCCGCTATGAGAAAGTGGATTACTAGGATTCAATTCCTCCATATACTTATTGCCTGTATAGTTGCTTCATTAGAATATGCATTACGAAGGTAACAATGAGGGAACAAAAGAGCACATACAGAGAAAGTAGTTAGACAGTTCGGTAACACTGCGTAAGCACTGCAGGGCGCTGTTCATGTAACAGGTGTTACCCAAGTTGCTCAGCCCACATTTACCTAAGGGTCTGCCATCCCGACGTTCTGCAGGTCTATTGAGAAATCCGGATCTGATAACAGCTGTGCTAGTACTCCCAGAAGGGCTGTCCGGCCTTGCGGAAGCTTTCTTCTTCACCGGCCCCCCCGTGATATTCTTTCCATTCAGAGCCACAGTAACCTGCTGACCGCCCTTCTTAACCGACTTGGTCGGTTTCTCGCTGATCCATTCACCATCCGAGCCCTGCTCTTCAATGACAATTGTGCCGCCAGCACCCAAGCCTGCTGTGCTAATCTTCATACTACCATTGTACTTTGGATCGTTAGATTGATCCCCGAGCTCTACTAGCTCCCGCTCGGCGCCAGGATTCAGGTCCAGGAAAGGTTGCATATCAATGACCAACTGTTTGAAGGGCCCAGTGCCCTTCTCTTTTCCACCCTTCCTTGACGATTTACTAGCGGGCTCCAAATCGTGCTCGAACGAGCTCTCTATTATCCTCCACAGACGAATTTTTCTCGCAGCATCCACGCCGGCCAACTTCTTGACTTTTCTCAGGAGCTTTTGGAAGCCGTCGGTTTTGCCGGCAGTGATCCTCTTTGGTGATTGCGATTTCTCCTTGTCCAACACGTCCTTAGTTATGTTGGTGCTGGGATCTCGGAGTTTGTAAAACGTAAACGTGGGCGGGTAGATCTCATATTGGATATGTGGCACATTCGTCTCAGAGGTATTGACCGCTCTCCGAGTAATAACAGGGGAGCCTTCAGCTAGACCGTACCAAGAAACAAGTGAATTCCAGGCTTCCTCTGGCAAAATCTCAAAGTCATCGCCTAGAATGCCCGGCTTGATGGCGACAAAGTCCTCCGGAACAGCAGAATCCTCGACGCTTTCCCCTTCATAAAATGCCCTGTCAGTACTGAGAATCGGCGTTTTAGATAGCGGCGTGAAGGAAATGGACTGTCCGCCTCCACATCCAGGGAAAAGGAACGGCAGGCTTGAGCACGTACTATCGTCCGAAGTTTTCTTGGCTTGTCCTTGCATTTGAGTTGTGTCCACCAAATCAGAATTGTCTATGAGCCCTATTTCTCCTTCGGCACCTTCCTTGGTGAGCTGAACTCCAGAGTCCGAGAATTTTGCCAAGAGTTGATTCAACCAGGGGCCAGAAATGATATACCCCAAATCGCCTTCCTTCGGCTTGGTCTCAATTTTAGATTTTATAATAAAGTGAGCTTGATCCTCTAAAGATGGTATGGAAACCGACGATACCGGAGTTGCGGAGGCGGAAGATGGCTGAGTAGACCCAATAGTAGTCGCAGTAGAGGGGGCTATCGACACCGCTGTTGAAGTAGCATCGATATGGATGACCCCCCCATTACCTTCAGATGATGCCACACTGCCGTCGGCCACTTCCACCGAAGGCTCCCTCCTGCTCTTCTCCTCTGCAGAAGGCATCACCGTGTCCTCATCCATCGGATCCGGAACGCTGACAAGTTCAGCTGAAGGTGGCTCTTCGGACTTTAGTCGTTTGGCCGGAGATTGAGAACGAGAAACAGCTGAGGTTGATGAAACTTGTGTAGAGGGACGAAGCAGCGTGGAATCGGATGCTGACGTGACAAGGTCCACGGAATCGGCGGGAGGGGAGCCGTTGTCCTGTTGTTCCTGCAGGTTGCTCATGGCGGGTGATAGTGGTGATTGTAGCTGCTGCCGTGTGCCGGTAGAGTTGATGGATAGACCCCGGTGCGAATAAAGACTGGGATCTCGTGGTGACAAAGCTACGTCAGGGGAAAATGAACTAGATCCCTCAGCAGTGGGAACAGGTTTGGAAGGATCGGATCGGGATACAGTGGGAAACTTTAAATTGTTAATGCCAGGGAACGGTGAAGGAGAGGGCGAGGGTGAAGAAATGAGGGGTGACGAGGGGGAGGATGGCGACGACGCCGGGGGACTAGGGGACGGTTGATCCGCCTCAGTCTCCACGTCGGACTGCAGCTTTCGTTTCTTCGTGGTGATTGATTTTGGGGAGGAGGAGGCTGAAGAAATCAGCTGCCTACCCTGATGCTCTGGGTGGGACGACGTTTTGACCAAATGAGCCCGAATTACCAGGCTTCTGGACGGGCTAGAGAGACAGCGAAACAAACGACGTTGCGAGGAAAGGCTGCGATAGGATAACAGGTTGTTAAATGTTTTCCCACACCAACGAGGAAGAGATGTTAGGGATGATGGAAAAAGCGGTCCAGAGTGAAGAAGAGAAAGAAAGAAGTAAGGAGGTAAGCAGTAGGGGAAGAAGGCGAAAGAGAGAGAGAAGGAAGTAGGCGGAGGGAGGTAAGACAGGCACGGTTGTGTACGAAAGGGGAAATTGTATTGATGTTTTTTATTATTATCTATTTTACTATTTATTTTTTCCCATGTCGATTTTCTTACCCTATAGCCCGATATGATACAAGCCAGAGCGTAGGTAAGCCCTTCCGTAGACCCTACTCGCATCCGTAATGCTGTGATAGGAGCGAATATTGGACAAGTACGAGTATCATCAACTCATTGGCATTGCAGGCAGTTCAAGCCCTGGTGTTGATGTACGGTACGGTATCCTAAAGCTTGACTCTCTCCCATGGCGCTGCCACAACACTAGCACTTGAGCAGAGTAGGAGAGCAGAAAGAGCAAAAAAGGAGGGAAATCTCAGGTTGAGCCACTAATAAAAAAAAAGGCATGCCAGTCAATTTCTGTATTATGGGAAAAAAAGGAAAGAAGATGAAAAATCTATCACACAGCCGAACGTCCAGTGTCACAACCAACGAAGCGACCCAAACAGGAGCCCGCGGGGGCCCGCTGACGAGTGTAGCACAAAAAAGGAGAGCTGTCGGATCAACCCAGTGCAACATATATATCTAGCTTGTGGTCATGACACCAAACAAAGCCTTTCCCCTTTCGCCCACCAAGCTTCGCCGGGAGATACGGTAGCTGGGGAATATAAGAGTCAATAAAAAAAAATAAAAAAAAGAACAAAAGTGCAGATGTCTGTCCATAACACACTCGAGCACAGTGCCGATATCTTCGAATAACAGCCGGAAAAAGGGTGCTCGATCCTGGACTATCCGAAAATTCGGTCGTTGCATTTCAGCCTCACGAGGGATGCCTACAATTGGCGGTTCAGGCCTGCCAAACCGGTGAAGGCGAGGAGGCCGTAACTCTGTTGGATCCCTTGCGATTTGCAAGATGCAGGTCAGTGGAGGGATGAGTCGTGATTGTACCCGTACGGCGATGGATCGATCCGTTGACGATACACATTTTTGCATTTGTCGGCTAATAGGAGATGATTTCTCAGGCTTCCGCTTTTTTGCGCAGGCGGGAATTAACAAGTTGCAGGATTCCTAGCGGTAATCAAATCATTATTTCGGCACTGGGCAGAACGATCTAGAAGAATAGCTACGGATAACTACGACTGACTATTGAGGGTGACAGCTGGACATTACAGCATCTCTATCATAGGTTGCTGTGGATAGTCTAAACCTGCAATACTCATCAGATTCGTGCCCGAGTACTGTACTGTACGAGTACTCGAGTTCTTGTACTTGTACATGTACCGGTACTATTATAGTATCATACCTGTGCTTAGTCTACAGTAGAAACAAGCCCGTATGATAGCAAACTCCTGATATCTCAATAACCTGGGCACCGGTACCGCACAAGAATGCAGTGTCCTATCCCAACCTCCTGCTCTGACAAGTGGAAACGTGTTTGTAGCAATAAGGCAATACCACCACACCATCCGTCAAGGATGGTAATCTTCCCCAGTATATCCGTAAAGAGCCTCAACCACTGCCGCCGCTCGACCCCTCAAGGCTCAAACAAACATCTTGTCCTAGCGAGGCAACGAGCAGAGCCTCAGCAACAAGCTCCTCCACCCAACACTAACTCACGATGAAACCCGTCTGCACGGAGAAGACACTCACTACACGATACCCAACTCCCCCACTTGTAATCCAAACTAGACCCTAGCCAAACTGGTATCCATTGCCCACACAAACGGTCACCAAACGCCATTTATTCGGATTTTTTTTTTTTTTTTAAAAAAAAGAAGAAAAATATAACTTGATAATTCCATCCCGAACAACAACAATCCCATCAAATCTATCAAACTCCCTCCTTCCCACCACCCCCTCCCTCCTTCCCCTTCTTTTTAGCCTTCTTCCTCGCCTTCCTATCCCTCTTTTTCAGACTTCCCATCCCACCCTTCGCCACCTCCGCATACTTTTCAAAGAAGCCTTGAAGCTCATCCGGCATCACGACTGTCGAGATCTTGATCCTTCCATCTCGCTTATCGCTCTTCTTTCGCTGGTCTTTACTATTGCCGTTCGTCGCGCGGATTAGCAGTGGCGAGTTCCCCGCAGTTGATGTGATCGGGGCTGAAGGGTAGAGGAGGGGTTTTTGGGTGAGGTATACGGTGGACTTTTCCTTTGAGGTTGCGGTCGTTAGGAGTGTTGTTAGGGATTTGAAAAACTGAAGTTTGGTTAGCTGAGGGGAACGAGGGAGGGAGGAGGTGGAGAGGAGAAACTTCTTCGTGGGTGAGACGAGGTGATTCAGCCATTTTGATGGGAGCTTATTTAGTAGAGGCGGGGAAAGGAAGGGGGGGTTGCTGGTGAGCTATTGGTGCCTGGTTTGGTTTGCTTGTTGGGTGCGGGATTAGAGTACCACGCGGTACTTGCGTGATGCTTAGAGAGATGGTGGGGTATTGTTATCTTATCTGATCGACGAAAGCACCGAGTGTCACTCGATTAGCGTTCAGCCAGGAAACAGAAATGACGGTCCAGACAGGTTATTGATGAGAGTGCCATGAGATTCTATCAGATGATTTCCTGAGGCCTGTAAAGATCAAATAGTGCTATTTTCAAAACTGCCCAGTTTAATGGATATTGATTGCGAGCTTTAAATAAGCGGAAAAGCTGGCCAATTTTTATACAGGTTAAGTTGCAAAGTCTGAAAATCTACCTCACACTTCTGCCACCCTACTCACCTATGAATACGGTACCATACCGGAATCGCAGCACACGTAACCCTGTAGTATACACCCTACGCTCCAGTCACGCAGCACCACCGGACATCCAAAAACTCCCAAACCCTCCCCCCTCCTACGCCCCTCCAAAGGAACATAAGCCTCACCCACAGCAATCACCATTATGATCCTGCATATGATACGTCCCACTCCTCCACCCACCACATCAAGAACCCCTCCTAACGAGACAAAACAAAAACCGAAATAAAAAAGACATCAAACTATCATAACCCCTCACTCGCCCCCCCTCCCCCGACCAGCCAATCACATACAACTACGAACACAAACACACAAACTCAGCAGGGGAAAAGAAAAAAATGACCTCCCCCTCCCATACAATCCTTATAGTCCTAATCTTGATGACCGCCTTTTCACTATTACTGCTCTGGGCTGGACTAAAGTACATCGAATCCTGCGCGCAATTCCTCGGCGTAGAGCGGGACGATTACTTCGACGAGGAGGCCGGCGACGGGAACGGGCGGGGTGTTGTCCCCGAGGTTGTTGCTCTCGCACCGACGGCGCCGGCGGCGCCAGTGGTGCGTCCGCCACCGGATGCTGCCAGGGGAATGGTGGCTGGGGCTGCAAGTGGTGGGATTAGGATTGTTTAGGGTGGTGCTGGTATTGCTTGGTGGGATCGATGGAGGTAGAGAGGGGGATGGGGATGGGGAGAGGTGGAATCGGGGTGGTAATGATATATTATGTGATAAATTCATGAGGTTTGTCTTAATTTTATAACCTTTCTGGCAGTGGTTCCATGATAGTCTTTTTTTTCTTCCTTTTCTTTTGATCATTCTTCGTCGGTTTGCCTGCGTGAGCGCATGTGTGAGGTATATCGAAAATCGCATCGTGGGGATAAGTTAGGGTTGTTGGGGAACAATATATGATACGACAATTCTGTTTTGATATTATGATGGTAATCCGGGTATCAGAGGAAGGTATGATAGTGGAAACAAAGCCCAGGAACCGCCAATCCCAGGGAACAAACCTACACCCGTCTTCCATCATGCCGCTACCCACAACAAACCCAACCAAAAACTGGTAACATCTCACCTGATCTTTCCGTTACTTCCTCCTCCCTCTTCTTTCTCCTACACACACCTCTCATCCACTAACAAAGCAATCAACTCCACATGTCAGCCGAAACCAAGCACACTTCCTTACCGCAACCTATTTATTCCACTTCCCAGAATCCTCCCACCATGACAACTCAACACTCTTGGGGTGGACCAGACGGCCAATACACCCCTCCAAATCGCACTCCAATCTTCACAACCACGACCATAACCTTCTACACCTCCGTCGAAACCCCCAACGCCTTCACCACGATTACCTCTCCGCTACCTACTGCAACAACTACAGCCACCGACACAACCACCTTCTTCCAAACGGCGACAACCCCATCAACCATCACCGTCACTGTCAGCATCTTCCGCCCATTCCCGGCACCCACCAATTCCGATACCCCCACGGGCACCGGTACACCCCCGTTCCGCAACAACAGGACTTACTGGGAAAACTGGTCCCCGGGCCATAGAGCGGGTTTGGTGATTGGGGCACTTGTCGGGGTCATGGCGGCAGCACTGGTACTATTCTGCATGGCGAAGAGATGTCGAAGGGAAAAGCGGGGCCCGGAGAGCGACAGCTTGTGGGGAGGGAGCGTCGAGACCGGCGACGGCGGCACCGAAGATGCCGCGGCAGGAGCCGGGGGGGTTGGCCGCTTCGCAGCCGGTATGTTTGGAGGGAACAAAAAGTATCGAGAAGGGAAGGGCTTGAGGAAGGATGGAACTGGCCGGGCTCGCAAAGTTGATATTCACCAGATTTCTGACCCGGTTTTTCTGCATTCGTCGCGCGGAGGTATTGAGGATATCCCTGGCACAGACCAACGCCCTGCCGGGGCTGTGCAGCCACCGCAAACGCCGGGGGGATCGAATTGGCCATTACCAACGGCGGAGAATGAAGCGTCTGGTGCCACTACTACGGCAGGACAGCGCAGAGTTTACAGTCAACGTAGACAGAGTTCGAGGGAAAGTCCAAGTGTCAGAGCTGTGAGTTATCAGCCATTGCCCGCAGAGGAAATGACTGAGGATGAGGAGGAAGTGGGCAGGGGGATTGCGAAAGGAGGGAGGAAATTGCAGAGACAAATGAGGCGTTAGCTTGTATATCAGAGTGTGCTTGTATACCACAAGTAGATACCCAAGGATGGCGATAGTGCTGTAAATAGCTACGGATATGACCCGTGAGGAAGCTATTTCGGCTCACATGCATACCTGAATATTCTTAATCTATTCTTCTATCATCACATCTCACATCATCACAATGTCCCATGCCTACTACCAGGGACAGCAAGTACTGTACGCCCTGGTGACCTCTGTAGTCTGTTTGTCACCACCACCACCACCACGTCAACATAAAATCACTCGCAAAGGCGCACATCCGAGCGAGCCACCCACAGCCACTCCTGGTAAAACCACAGAGTATTATTTGCGTCAGGTGCCATCCAGCATCGCCTATACCATCACCATCCTCGTCGAACTTGCCATGCTGGTCGCCGTTGCTGTGTGATGGGTAGTAAGCATAGGCCCTGCCTGGCGCCTTATTGCATGAAGCATTCAGATATGCGATTTAATTTAACCGTGAAGCTCACAACAGGTGCCCAGCGGGTAGTCAGGAAAGGTGTTGTAGCAGATATTTTTTTTTTCCCCCATAGTTATTATATAAACCGCCTTGTCTGGCTTACGATAGGTAAGAGCGAACCACTCTGAGGAAGGGAGGGAGAGGGCCACAACTGACTAAGTATCATATCTGGCCCTGCATTGCATTATCTGTGTTGCGGTGATTCTTCCAACTGAAAACTCCACTTTTCTTCTTTTCTTTTGCAGGTTACAACCTAAGTCAAGGCTTCATACATCTTGAGTTGGAAAAAATCTCCGGCTGTCTGGACTCTCTGGGTGATATGATACCAAGATTATCAGCCGGCAACACGATACTGTAGCATCGAATATTGTACACCTTAGACTCCCAACCACAAAAAACAGCAAAGGGTTAGAAACTTACAGTACAGTTGGACAACCCTGCACATCCAGCTTCTCGTCAGGTTTGGTGCGGTTCTAGGCAATGGCACCAACTCGTACCGCTTCCATATTGGAGGAAACTGAAGGGAAAGATCATCCCACGCTCGTCTATGATATACCTTCTAGCTATACTTCTCTACCGTTCACAATACCATTATCAGACCACTTCAAGGGACGGACGCTACCAACCATCTTATCTCCCAGGACGGTCAATAAGGAGCAGGCTTACGAACAGGATGCAAGAAATGCCGTGGGGATCGCGGTTGGCGTCACTTTGGGTCTACTAGGTCTAATATTGGCAATTGTGATCTTTTGTTGTTGTGTCTCGTGGAGAAAGTCAGGGAAACGCAATAAACTTGGGGGAGGAAGCCACCGTACTGGTACCAGAGAAGTATTAGGCCAGCCACAACAATCCCGCGTCAGGTTTGCGAGGAGCGGCGGCGAAGGCCATCATGTACAAAATGATGTAGGATGTTTGGAGTCCCTTTATGCGAATTGTTGTGGAGTAGGTTATTCATCTGGCCGGGGAAGCCGACGGAGGTGGAGCAATAGCACTGGAGGAAGGGGCGGTCTTGGAGGGCGCAGATCAGGAAGAGGAGGGGGTGGTGATGGTGGTGGTGGTGGCAGGCGTCTCTTTGGCCGAGGATACAGAAACAACTGTGTAACGAAACTTGATGAGAGGATTGGCAACCATGCGCAGAGTCAGATATCGCGAACCGCTCCTCCTCCACAAACAAGAGGGAGAAATGGGTACAGTGCAAGAGAAAAACGGCATCAGCTGCAAACTGGCAGCAGAAACGATAGACCCAGGAGAAGCCAGGAGATTGCCAGGAAATCAAGTATTTTCCCGCTGGAGAGGATACCTCTACCCACTCGCCCGCCAGGCCGTCCCCTCCGGCGCGTTCGAGACCATATGCCAACGGATGGAAACCGAGCGGGACAGTCAAGGGTGCGCTCAACGAGGTATCAAAAGAAGTCCCTGAAATTGAGGCGGACGGCAGCAGTGCCATCCCAAGCAATATCATTTCCTTACAGGCCCCATAGAAGAAGGGACAGCCCCTCAAACATAAGGCATCCACCGCGGGTCTACATTCCGGGTAGCTTAATGAGACCGAGGCAAATCCGAGAGGTTATAAGAGAGGATGGAGCAAGAAGGATCCGGGAGATCCAGACCCGAGTACGGAGTCGCTCGGGTCCGAACAGAACGAATTTACCTTCAGGAAGCGGGGGTCCGCTAGCTTCCTTTTATCGGATCTCTCCACCCGGTGCAATAAGCGACACTTCCTCGCAGCTATGTCAGCTACCCAGTGCCCCTTGGCCTTCGAATATTCCCCTATCATCGCGCACATGCTCAGAAGTTACTCAGTATTCCTCTGAGCCATCAGATTTAGCTGAGCACACATGCTACCAGTCATCCTGCACATCATCCACAGGCGCTCCATATCACTTCCCTCCACTGGAGCGCATCCCCGGATCCGCAGGCACATTCGACGATTTCACCTCGCAGGTTTCTGCAGAACCCATGATGAGCTCTGGCTTTGGCTGTTATTCCCTTGAAGAACTAGAGAGCAGACTAGAGACGATAACCGAAGACGAGTTCTACAAGAGCACATGCTCCAGTTTATGGTCAACAGAGCCCTTTAATCATGAGCAGAAGCGCGCAAGTATCGAAATGGAACATCCGGGATCACTGGTTAATTTTTGCTCAAGCGTAACAACCGGCTCCGCCGCGCCCGGTACTGTTCATGAAGCGCTAGAACAAGAACTATCCGATTCCACCACGCCTCATGCCTCTTCCCAGGCAGATGCCGAAGGGGCAGCGGTCACCAGTGAGACTTCGAGCGCCTTAAGCTCTCGACCATGGACTTCCAAGCGCTCACAAAGCCCTAGACCGTCTAACCAAAGCCCGGGCGGATATGGGCGCACACACATATTGACCCCAGCTACCATAACCATTACCACCCAAACTTTCGAGCGACCCGCCTCCTCAGCTGGGCATCCTCATTCATCAACAGCAACAACACGCACTTCGGGGTCACTATCCTCTGCTTCATTCAAGAGCCCAAATGAATCGTCCGTTGTTAATGCAACACCTTGCGTGAACCAAGATGCCGTAACGCCTTTTGAAGCCTCTGCTCCTGCTGTCCTTTCTCCCATCCGCACAGAAATTATGCCCGGCACCCCTGACCAGCTTCCGCCACCGGCAGAGCAGTGGGAGGAACTGGGAGAGCAAGAAGTGCTGGGAGAGCAAGAGGTGCCAGGAGAGCAAGAGGTGCCAGGAGAGCAAGAGGTGCCAAGTGAGCCAGAGGCGCCAGAGCATAAGTCACAGAAATCAGAGGATGTACAATCAAATGTTTCATCCAGCCCTTCCTTTCCCATTCATAATGACGGGTGTTCGATATGTACTTTTGTGCCTTATCAGTCCTCAGGCGCCGATTCGGTGGCAAGCCAAAGTGGGCGCAGTTTCTCAAGGAACACACCATTTCCACAGTACCATAATACTTCTCCTAGAGAGGCAATGCTAATGCATTCATCTGCAGTAAGGCCAAACTCACGAAGTCTTGTGCCTAGGGTGCTTGCAGGAGAACCGATTGTGGATTTGCAGAGGGAGCTCCGGGAAGCACAGTTGAGACAGGAGCTGGAAAGGCTCGGAGGAGCACCAAATTGTGTGGCTGGGCCGGCAGCTTCGTTACAAGCCACCGTTGAGAGTGTAGCGGGTGATAGCGATGACACTGGTGGGGTTGATGTGTGAGATATCTTTTGCCCTCGCAGGGGGGAAAGGCGGAACGTGTAACCCGGGGGGGGGGTGAAATATGGTTAGATTTGGAGGATGTGTGAAGAGAGGTAGGACAGGTAAAAAAATTGGCGAGCAATTCTACGATAATAATTTTACAAGTATTGGACCGATCTGCATCATTTTGCCATCTATATAATACTCGTAAAATTCTGAACATAGAGTTGTTTAGGACTGTTGTCAGATAAGGGCAGACAACAGCTTGAAATCCCTGCCTGGTTGCTGAGTTTACTTGCACAGCACTGTACGAGTGCGGCTATTGGGTGGTGGCATGGTATCATAATAGTTGCTTTGGTAAGTACCGGTAGGCTGCTAATCTACGATACTGTCGCCTATCAAAAATCACTGGGCGGCCACAGACAGCAACAGGTAAGGGCCCCGGGCCCCTCTGTACTTGAGTACGGTAAATTTCAGTTTTGTGGCGACTCCATGAAGTTCCTTGCCTTTCGGAGCTGCAGGATGGGTAATGATAGGACGGACGATGACGAACCGTCTCCAAGCACTCATTGAGGTAAATAGTTTCCTTTCTAGACTTGAGAATACCACCATGAGTAAATTACCACCCATGATTCCCACCTATTCCTGGTTAGTCGGAAAAATTGATGCAAGCCTTTTTCCCTTGTTATCGGGGCGTGTTCAGTTATTTTTGATTGGTGATAAATACTTGGCCCCTTGAGAGTTTTATGTTAGGACGCCCTACGTGCCCTCACAGGTACCGGTACGGTACTCGTGTCTTTGCACCAAGAATTGGCACCCCTTTTGTCATACCTGTAGCCACTATAGAGCCATACGAGTGGGAGGGCAAACAGGTGCTGATTCTTGTCTCAGGGGCACGGGTATTTCCGTGTCGGTACTAATGTCCTGAGTGCTCTTGCTTTGAGTCTCCTCAGCCGAGTATGGGAGAATTAGTGATGGATACTGTGAGTTTTCGAGAGAGACCGATCTCATATGAGCGGAGGATATCGGGAAGAGCGGGTGTCGCTGCGCTCCAAGTGGGTGTAACTGATGTTTTACCTAACCCTATTAGGAGCCGCTAAGCTTCTTGAAATCTTACAGCCCATGGGCAGACCCAAAGAGGGGACAAGTGACATAAGTTACTCGCCGCCCCTCCCATCTTGGGGAACCCCGCCAAGTGGGAGGTCTCCCAGTGGACGACAAAGTGGGGAGGACTCCATTTGTTTGCTGGAATAAAAACCTGCACCCTATGAAAAGATGCCGGTTCTGGAAAAAATTACTGTCCCATAAGCTAGAAATAAATAAATGCTCCATCACAGCTTTATTATGCCCAGGGAAACTATCCAGAACCCATCACAAAAGTCATTGCTGAGTACGATACCTAGATATTTACCCCAAGGCCCAGATTATTGACAACCACTGAGAAAAGGATGATCTGGAGATATCGCAGACGGGTAGACAAGGAAAATCGTCAGGGGGAGGAGGATTCGTGGTCGTGGCTGTCCAACACCATAGCATGGGTTCAAAATACCCCAGTCCCATACCATCCTCGCGACGTCACCACCACCCCTACAACCTCAACCACTTCCATCGCATCGACCACCTTAACAACTACCGGTACTGCTGGCTCTGGCACCAACCTACCGCCTAGCTTTGCATCGGTTGCGCCGCGTTCTCATCATCTTCGATTTCAACAGTCCTACTCTATCCTCCAGTCCCGTTCACCGTCTGAAGACGGTTCCAACGAATCGGAGCGTTTTAGCTTCATTACTGCCGCCGGTTCTCAAACATCTCTAATAACTTTCTCCACAGCTGGTTCTATGTGGGAGGATAACAACCCGCTACCATATGACCGTCGGTCGTCTACCTCATCGTTCCGTGCACCAGGATACGATTCTCCCCATGCAGGAAGTGATACAGAGCCGCCAGATTTCCTTACCAGGCCACCCCATACACCTCCGGAAACCTCAGGAGACGAAGCCGGGAGCAAACGTGGCGATGAGGATGATGAGGATGAGGATGAGGATGGAAATGAGCAATATCGACAACAGCGAAGAGATCAAGTTTACAATTCTCGAGTAGAGCAAACTCTTCTGGAATATAGAGACCCCCCAATTGCCATCACCGATGCGGGGAAGAATTCTGAGGGTAGTGGCGGTTTTATTGTATACACCATCAGAACGGGGGTATGTTCCCCCCCAATCTTTTGATTTTCCCCTTATCTTGCGAGCATCGTGTTGGTCAGGAATTTGAAAAAAATTCACTGGATTGCACTTAGCGAGATCACAGTGTTCAAGCTAACCTGTTTACTTACAGGATTTAGAAGTCCGCCGCCGATACTCTGAATTTGAATCGCTCCGTAGAAACCTTTCCTTACTCCATCCTTGCCTTATCGTTCCTCCCATTCCGGAAAAACACCAGGTCTCCGACTACGTTGCGGCTCCTACCAGTGCGAAGGAGAATGTCAACATCATTGATCACCGGAAGCGAATGTTGGGTGTGTTCTTGAATAGATGCGCTAGGATGCGTAAAATTCGGGAAGACAGTGTATTTCAACGGTTTCTGGACCCTAATGCGAGCTGGGTATTTACCTTTTTAACCCGTTGCAGATAGAGGAGATATACTAATATACGAAAAAATTATAGAGCGAAGTACTGCATTCAGCGCCAATTTCAAATTTGCCGAAACAACATCTCAGGGCTCCTCCCCTTAACCCTTCCAGTCCATCACCGGCTCATCAATTTTTACCTCTTCCATCGGCTTCTGCAAAGCTCAAAAATACTTCTATCTCTCCTCCTTCATCGTCCTACGGTAATTCTAGATCACGGGGTCATCCCCGTTTCCCACCTCTCAACCACACGCTTTCCGAATCTGAACTAGACCCTTATTTTAACAGCTACGAATCATCTACGCGGGTTTACGAGAGCTTGCTCACAGGTTCTATCGAGCGTGTAAACCGTAGAATCTTGAAACGGTTATCTGAGCTCTCCATTGATTACCACGAATTGGGTGCTAGGTATAATGCGTTCTCGTTGTCAGAGTCTGGGGATCTTGCGTCTGCGATTGAAAAAATAGGGCAGGCTGTCGATAGCTCCTATATAGCTACAGAGGGGTTGGCTCTAGTTCTTGGATCTGGATTCGCAGAGCCTTTGCGTGAATCTGCTCAGTTCGCTGGGGTAGTGCAAAAGGTCCTTCGTTACCGGGTTCTGAAGCGCGTTCAGGAGGAAATAACAAGAGATCTATTGCACCAAAAGCGGACACTACTTCAAGGACTTGAAAGATCGGAGATGGAAGCCAGGAGAATTGAGCAATACCTTCACGGTGGATCAGGCTTTGAGGGCTCTAGTGCTGGGAGTGTAGAGCCGTCTGCGAGGGCTGATGACGTGGAATCAATTGACTCCGGAGATTTCCCCCCAACACATAGTGACACCTCGCCGCCGCAACGCTCCAAGTCGATAACCCAACGTTCAGTGTCTTCATCGTCACGTGGTGGTGAGTCACAAGGGCACCGAAAATCTCAATCCTATTCGCCACCAACAGCTGCTGGGAGCAGCGGCGGGGGTTTTTTAGCAAAGGGTTTTGGAAAACTAAATTATGCTATCCATGGAATCGTCGATGTTGATCCTGAGAGAACTAGAAGAGACAACATTGGTAAAACACGGGAACAACTTCAGCAATTAGAAGCGGCAATTGAGGCTGCTGAGAAGGATGTCAAGGATGCGAGCAAAGGCGTGTTAAAGGATTTGAGGCGATTCCAGAAAGGCAAGGAGGAGGACTTGAAGAAAATGATGGTTAGTTAAAGTACCTTACTCTTATGGAATTATACTAACTACTTATAGATCGTCTACGCTAAGTGCCATATCGAGTGGGCTAAGAAGAACTTGGAGGGGTGGGAAGAAGCTAAGGAGGAGGTTGAGAAGATTCAAGCGAAATAACCTTAATGCCTCAACCATTTGCGCATTGTAGGTCGAGGGCGGTCAGGTTATAGTGCTCTCTTAATTGAAGGATTTCTCTGTTATGGCGTACAAAAACGTTTTCTTGCTACATTGCTGGCTGGGTAGCCAAGTTAGTAGGTTTGCGCTGGGTTTCGTGCTGTACTATTGAGTCCAAAAATAGCATGTCTTTCTGTCTTCCATGCCTTCTATAACATGGCCTGGGGTTTTATTTTATTTTCCCACTATATTTTGCCTCTAGCTATTATTTGATTTACTGGGCGCCGAATGCTTATATGGTGGTAATACTTTTTTTTTCTTTCATTTTTTCTTTCTTTCACAAGTTGGTTGGTATCCATCTCGATATCTCTCTCACTTCGTGTTAATCTCCCTCTCTTTCTACAGGGCTCGGCTCTAGCTCTTGGGTGCTGATTTGTATTATAAAGTCCTGGTACTTAGTTGGCCTGGTTAAAGAATGCAGATATATTTGCTCCAAGCTAAGTTATTTGCCCAAAGCTTAACCAGCTATAACACTAGCGGTTGGAATCGATAGGTATTGTATTCTGTACCGATATTATGACACCATAGCTGATGATAGGTCCACAACGACCATTAATTACGGGTGCTCCGTAATACTGCTGTCCAATGGCTGGTTGAGCTGTATGGTATCAGTTTATACCTTCCCCTCCCAGAACATATACTTAGGGTTTGATGCCTTCGTTCTGTGGAAGCCATCCGGGTCTTGGAGGGTTATAAAATATGATAGATGTTGTATGGGCTTTATGTCACCAGCTAGACTTATATTCTCCCCTGCTTTGCCTTGAGCCAAATCTGGTCACACGATTATCCTGAGTTGGTTCTATCCTGATATGGCCCATTGGGGGTATAGCATGGTATCGCAGCTCCGCAGCTACCCAAACCTCGGACAGGTTATGAGACGACCAACCCAAGTCAGCCTCAGAGTTTAAAGTCCACTTCTTGTCATGAGTGGTCTTAACTTTTTTCTGCCGCCTTTTCAGGCAGTTGGCTCGGTGGCATATTTGTATCCTGGATCAATGATAGGTTTTGCTGGAAAGTAACAATTCTCTACTAACTGCAGCAGGAGGTATTGACAAGCCACGCTAATTAGTTCCTCCCTCTAGAGTTTTGGCTATGATTATTTTTTCCTGTTTTGGCAGTTGGTGGCAAATGAACGATTAGTTATGCTCCTATTCACCTCTTTTTCCCTGCGTACTCCATTCTCGGCAACAACCAAGTATCCCTAGCTCGGCCGCGTGGAAGGAAGAAAGAGGGGGGGAAAGGTGAGCAAAAACGGAACCAGTAAATATCTCTCTAATTCACCCCCACCCGTCTCGGGTACTCAAATGGCTTATGCTCGTAACCTCTTTCTCCTACAATTACAACACCTGCTTTATTAACTCCCCATCACCAGCCATCATTCGATGCACCATGTATGTCGCCCGTTACTACTTTCCGCTCTTGCGAATCTCATGGGGAGGGTCTAACTCGATTGGGAGCAGTTTAACGGCCATCCAATTATTCCACATATCTTCCTCACAACTGTTTCCTAGATATCTCCGGTATTTTGGAGATACCTGGAGATCTCAGGGAGTGGGTGGCGTTAACAAGGCTGCGCGAACTGGCACATGGAAAGATATGAGAACTCGGGTGAGTGTTGGCAAACTGAGAATTACTCGTCCCCCGAGTACATATCTCTAAAGTCAGGTTCCCCCTCATCTCTCATCCCTCATCCCGAGAGAATGATGCCGTGGGCCTCTTTGACCCTTTGGACGTCAATTACGTCTTAGAGGATAGGCTCCCTCACTGTGGCAGGGAGGGTGAGCTCCCCGGAAGGGTATTACTCATGAGTTCTGTTGAAAACTACGGCGTAATGACTGGACTTGATGAGATGAAAGCGATGATATTCGTATGATAAAGAAGAAGAAAAGAAAGACAAATCCGAAAGAGACAGTGTCAATTGTTAGAAAAAGGTAAGCGTATTCCACATTCCACATACAACCTAAGCGGGTGCTTCAGTGAGGACGTAATCCTCAATGCATACATCTCATCCAGTATGTAAGCGATACTACAGTCCACAGTATAGCTCTTAGTCCGCACACTTCCAATCTCAATTCCGAATGCCTATCAACTCTCCTAATAAGATCAGTTGTCTTGTTGGCCTCAGCGGCTGCCGGGCCGCCAACTTTATCGAAAATGCTGGTAATGATCTATTGGCGGGGTTGGAAGCGTTGATATCTAGGGTATTCAGCGGATTTATAAACCATATCACTCAAGGAACTGGGTTGGTCTCTCCTATGTCTACAATTAATTTTATCACACATAACACTCTCGGGTCTCGCAGATGGGTAGAAACCATGTCATTATAGGGGACAATTAGCTCTACCAGTACAGTACAACAGCAACTCAGAGGCAAAGAGTAGGGCAAGAACTACGAAGCGGAGCATAACCATCAGTTCCAGAGTGTCCCTTCTCCACCCCCATGGAGGTGGGCAGCTCCTCTTGGGAAGGTGTTGGTGCATGATCAGGACGCTTGCTCGGAGCGCTCTTAGAATTGTCACTCTTCGGAAAGAGTCTAGGGTCCACATCATCAGGGGTATGGGATAAGCCATGCCTGGCTAAGGCTTGTTCAAATAAGATACGCGCCTTTCCACTCTCGTTCGGTTTTCGAAGGAACTCGTAATTTTTACGGGACTCGATAACCTCGCTCACGGCTGGCATCAGGTACATGGGCAAACCAGCTTTGGCAATTAAATCCTCTTCTTGCTCTATCGGGTGTTAATACCAACTCGCAATAACATCAAATCGGCCTCCGAGAGAGATAAGCTTACTAGTCAGGGCTATGTTAGGGCGGAATTGCTTTCTGTCAGTACCCTTTTGGTTGTGATCGCCCACCCTGTCCTTGGGACCCCTTTGGCCAAATGACTGGTTGGAATTCACACGGCTGTTCTGGCCTGCCTTTTCCTGGCCGGTTCCTATGGGGTGTTCAACATCAATCACTGTTCTTAGTTCTACCTAACGGTAGAGAACTTACCATCAGTCCCGTTGACACCTTCAGCGGAGCCTTGATTGAGAGTAGAGCCACGTCTGGAGCCAGCACCAACACCGATATTTCCAAGCAAACGTCCATTACCTATTTTCTCTTCAGCAAAAATTTCCATACTGCAATTGCGGCTGGCACTTGCCTGTAGTTTCAGCGCAACTAGATTCTTTTTTAGCAGCGGCGTCCACCTTTAGCTTATCATCCAAGCCACCGTCGCCGTGAACGGCACCCTTGCTGGGAAGAGCAGAAGCACCAGGTTTGAAACCGGCAACACCATTGGTGGCCCCGCGGATAGTTTTGTCTCCAACCTGGCAGTTAGCAAACACCTCCACATATCAAGATATTGGGCTTACCAGCATCATCCGTAACAGGGCCCCCTCTATCCGAGGCAGCATCCACTTCCGGCTCACTAGCTACAGAGAATTCATCAACGTTGTCTGCTGAGAGTTAGTTTGCGAATTAAAAAGTCAATACCAAAAATGGCCATATCATAGAACGCACCCTTGTGGTCATGCATTTTGCGATTTTCAGCTCTTTTACTGCGCTTATTACGAGCCATGGTGGGGAGAAAAAGCAACAAGTGGAAGAGTGAAGATAGAGAAAGGTGTTGTGTATTGTCAGCTGTGGTTGATGGGATGTGGTTATTTGTATTGGGCACAAGGAAGGAGGTGAGAGAGGGGGTAATTGAAGAGAGGGGGGTGGCGGGTATCTTGCATGATCGTATCAGATCTATCAAGTAGAATGAAACTGCCCTCTGCTATTAGATGAGAAGGAGATAGGTCTACTGGTCAAAGTAGAAGTGCGGGTCTTGTGTAAACCCTTTTGAACTCTCAACTGCCACCGAAAGCTGAAGTCTGCGCTTCGCATTTTTTCCTATGATACCACTACCAAACACTACGACGGACCAAGCTTATAGGAGATTCTCCCAGGAAACAGTCATTATCTTCCTAACAGTAGACGTTGTTCAACCTTGAATGTAGTTGCGGTTGAGATTGGGGGGTTCGGGCTAACCCACACCCTCTGTTTTGTTAGCAATCTAGCCGGGAAGACGAGGGTCATGGGTGTTGTATGGAACAAGAACAGAAAATAGGAAAAGTGAAATAGAAAGATCATTATGAGAGTACGCCATTCTTTGACAATTATAGGGAAGAAAAAAATAACAACCTATATAGAGATAGTTTACCCTGTGCCATGGTAACTTTGGTAAGTAAAGCAACAGATATATAGCTTACAATATAGCAAGGGAAAGACATCTCCCGGTCATATTTAGTGGGTTAGAATATATCTCCTATGCCGGGCCTTCATGCTCCCATGGGCGGAGAAAAGCCCCTTTGATACCTGAGGAATGGGTAAAGCGATAGAGTTCAAGGAATTCAGAACAAAAATGGGTTGTGCCAGTTGGATAGAGCGACTAATAAGGTTTGATGGATTATCACTACACGTGCAGTACAACTACATACAATCTGAAAACAATCAATATTCCATGCCACAAAGCACAAATAGCCCAGCCACTTATACTGCAATGTGTTGCCGCCGGTGGGTATGATATCTGGAAGCTGTAATCCCTCTAGTGTTTATGGATTATTCCGTGGAGCTGATTGTAAGCCCACACAACCCCGCATAAATGACTTGGAAGATAAAGTTAGTGCGCAGACAGGAACATGAGGAAGCATAGTTTCGCTTACCAGTTTTAAAAGTCCCTACACCGGCACTCAGTAATAGGGGCAGCCTCCAGCAAACAGCATCCGGTCAATAGCACATCCATTAGCTCCTTCATAACAATGCCGTCGAGCCTAGCGCATATTGTACATTTCTGGCAGACGAGTGACCATGAGTGATGGATAGGGGTCAATACCCAAGTTACCTCTTTGATTCCCCATAAGAACTGAGGGAAGGGCAAGTGCTATTAAGTAGGCCAAGATCCAAAACCCGAAAGGTCAATCTATAGTCATACCATATGATATCCCCGGCCTAGTGGGGGGGACTGTTTTTCACCCTTCCTATCTCTTCTCTCCCACAAACCCATACTAACCCTCTAAAAAAGCCTATATAGCTCTCGACGCACCATGGTATCATGGTCGTAAGTTTCCTCACTCATATCCTCTCATTCACCTCCCCCCCAACCTTCTTGAATGTTCCTGTCATCGCCACCATCATCTTCGCCACCACTCCCCTACCTGCGGGGCCAGCCAACACACAGCGACCGGATGGAAAACAAAACTGGGCCGCCTAAAGGAAAATGCCTTTCCGCAACCGCTCCAGTTTTCAAATTTGTTGAGAGAAATGAAGTTCCCATCGAAGCGCGGGTGGCTGAAGAAGTAACAACGACCTTCCCCGCTAACCCCGAGAGCCAGGAACACATTGGACAAGCGTCTGCCTACGGGACGGAGGAGATGCTAGAGATGCTAGAGAGCTTTGAGACGCCCTGGGAGCCT